GTTTCGCAAAAAATAAAAAATCATAATTCTGACGAAGCAGACCTGAAAAGGCTGCGAAACGTCAATAGATAGATAAAGTTTCCTGCATTAACCCGTTAAAACTAGTTTTATTTAATGAGTGATGTGTGTGAAAACCTAAGAAACAAATAAGTATGCTATTATTCGCGATTAAAAACGAAATTGTATTTAATTTCATCAAAACTTAAAATCTTTTTATAACAAAAATAAAGGGTCTAGTTAATAATAGTTTGTTATTTTGATATGTTATATCTATTGTTATATTCTTATTAATTTGGCTCACTCGTTTATCAGCTAATTCGAAATACTATACATGCTATAAATTTTCATAGTAATGATATGATTTGTATTTTTTTAACGTTGGTACGTTAAAAAACAATAAATAAATAAGTATTGCTTAATACTAAAGTAGGTAATGTATCTTTTTTATATAAAATTAATATTGTATTATATATTCTAGAGGCGTCCTCCAATCATTGATAAGGTACGAAGTTAATGAATAGCTGAAATCGTAATTACATGTAAATATTTAATTATTGGATCTTGGGGTGGTCTAATGAAATTCCTACCTGCCCCTTTGTGTTTCACAACAAAAGCCGCTGTGCTGTGTTAACTAGTGTCATGTAAAATAGTGATATCCTGTTGAGAACGATGATTCAATTAAAATATGGTTCTGCAAATTTATTATAATTACTAGCTGTACCCTGCCACGCTTCGCAGTGGCACATTGTGATTGAATGGTTGAGAAATGAGAAACAAAACAAATAATACATTTCATATAAGTTTAATTTTGCAATACTTGTGGATATACAATATTTTTTGTTTTTCCACTGTCTGCGTAGATATAAAGACTATCGTTTTGCCGACTCGGGAACACGCAACATACAGTTGTCCATGTGAAAAGCAATCCGCATCTAAATCTAAACCACACAATTCTAAAGATTGACCTTGAGCTTTATTGATTGTGATTGCAAATGGCAATCGAATTGGGAATTGCAATCTTTTATATTGAAATGGTGTATCGGTCGGGATCATGGGTATTCGAGGAATGAGGACATCTTCACCTTTGAAAAGCCCCGTTAAAATCGTTAATATGTTTTGTTATTGATTAATTATTTAACTAATATTTTACTTATTTATTTAATTAATTAATATTAAATAAATAATAATTACAAAAAAATAATATTTTTACTGTCCATCTTCGATATAAAATATAGCGTCTACTTACGATTTGGTGAAAGGCGCAGTTCGATCACAATCACACCAAAAATTCTTGATTTAAGTGAATATATAATTCAGATTGTATAATAATCAGAATCAGATGCAATTTTTTTTGTAAATAAACAATGTCATTGGGAACGAAATTGTTTCTCATGTGACTGCGTCATTACTATTGCGGTTGTCAGCGAGTATTTTCCTCGCTTCTGGCAGATGGCGCGGTCACTGGTACACAGCTGATCGTTAAAAAAACTGTTTTCTCGCGGTCGCAGAAATGTGACTGATGCAAAAAATAGATAAAAACAGTCCTTGATGCGGATTTTATATCATGCTAAAATTTCAACTCAATCGGTGCAGAACTTTTTGAGTTTTTGAAGCGTACACATAACTTTTTATATATATAGATATAATTATAATTATATAATAGACACAGGTAATTATTCAAGAGTTTTGAACTTGTTAGCTTTCCTATTTATATGAAACCTCACGTTTACTAATGGAAATGTTGACTTGACTAATAAACTTAAATTTATAAGTTAGGCCTTCCATTAATAAAATGGTAAATACATCGTACTTTTGATGCTTTGTTAAACATGCAAGGAATCTATGACGTGTACTAATGCAAATGCTAGCCCACATTACATTACTTCGATCTTAAGTAGCCAAAGTGCTTATGTAATGGAAACTAGAAACAAAGTCAGTCCAAAAACACCCAGATATAAAACATTATAGGAATTGTCTACCTACTCCGACCGGTATAAACCGGTATATAAAGCTCCGGTAGAAATAAGGATTTCATAGAATAGATAGAGCATAATTTTGTAGTACATAGTTCTATCGAGATGGAAAACGCGGAGTAATACAAATATAATCATCACATTCAATTTAATTGAGCATAAAAAAGGTACGGACCAAGAAAGACTGAAGCAGTGGCAGGGGGGCGGAAGGGGCGGCCCGCACCGGGCCTCCGATCTTGGGGGGCCCCCAAATGTCTCCACGTTACCCTGATCAAATCCTAAACAAGACTCCTTGAATAAGTATTTAGGTGGTTCATCAACATCAAGAAACCAGGAAAAGTGAAGGTAAAAAGGACGATGCCGGGTGAATCAGCTCATGATGCTGGATTATCAATTCAAGAAGAAATACGTCGGTCAATGTATGAATGCATAGATCGCTTTATACAAGAATTTTCGAATTGGGCTATTAAACAAATCAAAAACATTTTCAAAATTATTGAAACAAAGTTTATGCTAGAAGCTTTAGATGACGCTCTGGCTGTAGCAGTTGAAAATCTGATACAAAGTTATGGTGAATATGACAAAACTGGTTTTAACGAAATAAACATAAGAATCTACATTTTTTTAAAGCTGGGGGCCTCATTTAGCTTTGCCGCCCCGGGCCTCTGACGGGCTTAATCCGCCACTGCTCTGAAGATATTTAATAGTTAATATGAAAAAAGGTACATATCTAAATGTGAGAAATCTTCGCGTTCTTTTAATTCATGTAAACTCTGTTTGAAAATAATTATTGTCAATCCCACAGTACACCCACCCCCAAGAAGGAGCAATGCCACCCCTCGCTAACATTTTAGATATTGACTGAGTGGGATGTCAATGCAATTTGCTCCTACTGTGCGACCTGCCGATACTAAGAGCACTGCTTTTCTTTGAATTTTAGGATAAGTTCTTTTTATGTTGCTCTCCAATCCCTACCTGCGTCTAAAGTCGAAGCTACCTGTAGCGCAGTGTAGTCGAAATACGTGCCGAACTACACACACCTATCCTTTTCATCTCTACCTCAAGCACGGACTTTGACAGATCCGTAATTGTATTGTTTTATACTTGATAAAATTTAGGTTAAATAATCAGACACTCATTTCGAATCAACTTAGTTTTGTTTAAAATTAGCACAAGACTACATACTTAATACTATAGCCATGTTCTAAAGAATTAACAATCTAGGGATATCCTTTCAGTCAGTGTTGCCAGATAAAGTGTTGCGTATCATATCGTCAAAGTTTCTATGGAAACTAAGAAGCGCCCCCTACCGGACATAAGAACAAACTAGGTCCTTCCACAGAAAGTTTGACGATACGTTTACGGATCTATCAGAGTTTGTGCTTGGGCCTCTGATGTAACAGAAGAGTAGAATATGCCGCTACAAACACCTTGTCGGCCCGAACCCAATACTCTGTCCAAAAGAGTCTAAGGCCCCTACACACCGATAGAAACAAACATCGCTAAAAGGTTGTGTAACTACTCTGCAGTCTTATGTAAAGAGTTCTGACAAGCGGAAACTATATATAAATATATTGTTTTAAACTTTCATGGTCATTAACATTATAATAATATAAGTTATTTACGGGATTGTTACCATGTACCTTGTTTTAGCGAGTTTCCGATATTTCGGCACATTTGCAAGCGTCATGATCACGGAGTAAATTTGGCGCTTGCAACAGTGCCGAAATAGCGGAAACCCGCTAACAACAAGGTACATGGTAACAACAGTCCCGTAAATAACTTATATTACTATGAAGTATATAAATATGCCTCTATTTTCTTATTGTATTGTTGCTCGAAAATCTCAGCATTGTTTCCCAAAGGATGTGTTTAAAGAGATACATAGAGATAAACGAATAAATTATATTAAGATGAGTAAGGAGGTTTGCTTGCACAATTAAAATGGATTTTTAACTTATTGCAGTAACAATAAGTACAGAACAGATATTATTATTATTTATGTCAAACTTATCCTGAATTAAATATATAATTGTTGGTCACCCTACTCAAACTACCGGCCGTTACATGCAGGCGGAAAAAGATGGCGCGAATTAGGCCATTGCGCATTTCCCCCGCAAATGAACCATAAACGTTTTTCTGATTTAAAAGTTGGATGAGAATACCACTTAATTATGAAAACGATACAGCATCGTGGAATAGAAAGACCGATAATCTAATTCAGACCCGGGAAAAGTATTTTATTTATTGATCGACTTTTACGCAAAAATAAATATTGAAATAGAAAATGACAATGATACGTTACTATATTGTTAGCTTTAATATTTATTTTTTTACTACATAGAAACACAGATGGATTAGATATGTAGAAGGAAAATGTTCACTTACTTTTTTTCAGATTATGGCGATTATAAACGGAAAGGACTTATGATTTTATTTATTTTTAAGCATTTAACTGCTTAACTTTAAATCTAAAGAAAAGTTTACTAGAAAAAAAAAGGACTTGTTTCGATAGAAGTTTTTGAAACATTTTTAAGTACAATACAACAATATCTGCAAAAAATCAGAAGTATAGAGGGTGTAAAAAAACCAATGACAAAGACTTAAACTACGAATTCTGTACATCCAAACAAGTCATATTATAAAATATTATAGTTGGGAAAATTTTGTATTTTAAAATAAAAAAAAAACATTTTTTTTTCCAGTACGCAATGTATAGCGCGGCGCTTTACTGTGGCGCTACGCAAAGAATGTGCCTGTGTGTATGAGTGTGCGTGTGTGTAAGTGCGTCGATAAAAAAGTTTCTAAATAACATTTTGAAAATATCAATGTATAAATCTTGAAAAAATATTTTGGCTTTGACCTTCAATATCTCCATAACCATAAATTTCCCAGGTATGGTCCAGAAGAAAAAAATTAACGTCATAATGTGGAAAATACGTGGCCTTCGACTTCGTCATAAGTTTTTTTACACCCTGTATATAAAAAGTATAAATAATTTAATATGTTTTTTTTTATTTGTTACAGGAATTCGCGACACTCACAAAGGAGCTGAACCAAGCGAGAGAGCAGTTGTTAGAGCGAGAGGAAGAGATATCGGAACTCAAGGCGGAGAGAAACAACACAAGGGTGAGTAAACCTAATTAGGAAGCGTTTAGAGGTGCAAACTTTGATGATTGATGGAACAATGATTCTATAAAACTTGAAATAAGCAGACACTGATCTGTAGTATTCTGTTTCACTCAGTGAGATTGAGGAACAGGGCGGCCGGGATATTTTAATTGGGTTATGCTACAGAACACAGTGTACGGTTTATATTATTGCATTGCTATAAGTCCGTCTTCACATTATGGTTCTTATTGCGACTGAAATTAAGTTATAAATGTGGCAGGCGTAGCTGCCGATACACACATTAATACGCAATACATTTGGTATAGTATAGGCATGATGTATTCAAAAAAAAAATTCAATATCGTTTATTCAGTCTAGGCTGTTACAAGCACTTGTGAATGTCGAAAAGCTACGCCATCGGTTCGCAAATCTACGGCGGGAGACCTTGTACTAAGAAGAACCGGCAAGAAACTCAGTAATTTGATTGGCTGATTTTTTCTCCCTGTTTTATTTCATACAGTGTCGTCCAATTGAAAGTTGGCATCAAACTTGCAAACATGTGTTGAGGTCAACTTCCATCACATAATGTCAAATATTTAACAATAGACAATCAACGAATTTACTAACAATAAGTGCAAAGAAAGCTCTCAAAATAGCAAGACACAATTTTCAAAACAAAATGAACAAGTATATGATATAAGATATAATATAAGTGCAAGGTTCTCTTCAAAACTCTTTCTAAGGCTGTAGTGTAGGGCATAGAATTACGTAAACTCAGCAAAATATAATGTGACACACAGAAAGTGGTAAGAAGGGCCTTGTGGGCGGGGCAGGCGCGCCCAGCGTTGCCATTTGACATCTTTGGATGTCATTTTGACAACTATGACATCCTCTTGACAACAAAGCTCAAATGACATCTTTTCAAAATTATGAATTCGGGCCTTTGCCTGTCTTTGCCAAAGTTGTCGTCTGAACAGTAGTGAATAAAATACATATAAATACATACTACTAGGTCTATGTGCTGAACTATTTTTTTTCTTAGTATTGTACAAGGCTGTATGAAAAAAAAATTGAACCTTTGCTGATAGTGATAGTCTGAAAAAGTCTGTTAATTTGGTGTTTGTTTTTTAGATTTTTTGTTTTTTTTTTATGTTATAGGGGGCATACGAGCAGACAGCTCAACTGATGGTAAGTGATCACCGTCGCCCATGGACACTTGCAACACCAGGAGTATCACAAATGCGATGCCGGCCTTTAAGGAAGGAGTACGCTCTTTTTTTGAAGATTCTTTCTAAGGTGTTTAGATTGGCGCGATTTTACACCACTTTTACCACATGACTAGAGAAAGGTACAGTCCCTTACTGTACCTACTTGTTAGCGCTTATGCTGGATTTTCAGATCTGTAAAAATAATGCAAAAATAATCAATTTTTTGTTGAATTTTATGATCCTTCCTTAACAAGTGTACTTAGATATTTATTTATTTTTGTTAAGATATAATTAACTAAATTATATTATATCGAAGATTGATATGCTTTTGAATAACAACGGAACGGTTAACAATTCAATATTACACGGTATTTTTTGGAGTTAACTCCTTAAGAATAGATTTGCATATATAAGGGGCCCGGTATGAGAAAAATGCGAGGAGTAAAATCTATCGATGAATGACCTCGTTACGTTTTTGGTGCGCATCCTATGTCGCGCATCTTTGACAAACAAAGATGACGGATTGACATTAATATTTTTTTTTAAATCTGAACTGAATTTAGATATTGTTTCTGATAGAGCAATGGGGACAACGAGGTATGGTACAACCATTGATGCGGTATTTTCAAGATTCGTGAACCACGTATCTACGAACGTCCATGTGTCTTATTATTGTACGTAAAAGATTTAGTGACATAATTATCTTTTTATAACCGTTTTTGTTAATTATTAAGATAATATTATATTTTAAATAAAAATTAATTATATGTAAACTCCAGTCGTGCGTCGGAGCTGACACACACATTTTTTTTTACTATAAAATAATCACGATTTGTACATATTAGTTGATTTTTTTTTGTAATGACAACATTTGGTTTCAATTGATAACATGACAAGCCAACATTGACAAATTTTCCCGTGCAGGCTCAGTTATGTGTGACCAAATGCTTCATAACTTGACCAAAACTTAGTTCAGATTGCGTCGTTGCTCTTGGGTGTGAGCGCCTGTTGGTTTAATTGTTTGATCTCGCGTCGTTTGGTTGGCTTTTTTCTATGGTGGAAGTGTAGTGAGGGCAAGCCGGCGACATCGGTTCCCGTATAAGTCGCTGCCCGAAAGTCTAGCACTGACTATTATTGCGCAGAAGTAAAAATTAAGATGTGTTGGCGACTTAGATTAAAACAAAAAGGGAAGATACGGCACTCGCGGCTTAAAAGTGATCCGCTTAAATTGTGGTGCATGACCATAATTCGCTTTAGTCACAATTAGACATTCAAACACGCTGCATGTGCACTCAATATAACAATATTGCGTATATTCTGTGTTATGAAGATAAAACAATGCCTTCGATGCTTTTATAAGGAACACAAATCGTTGAAAATCAAATAACAAAAGCCTCGGCAACACTTTTCATTCGTAAAAACCATTTTTTCTCAAAAATCACGGTTTGTCGTGAATGATATATAATACGTAATCGGCATTTTGTATTAAGAAAAGGACAGCAATACGCTGCGTTGCCAGTATATAGTTCTGTCTCGCTCGCTCGATTGAATGTTTATATACAGACGTGTGCGTGTGTGAGAGTTGCTCATGTAGTTGAGTCGGATCATATTTTATTTGATGCTAGTATGAGCGTACCGTATCTACCCTTTTTGTTTTAATCTAAGGTTGGGGAGAAACCAACGTGCGTTGCGCCGATTGTCTCTCCAGTCGTACCCATGCGTAGCGTTTTGTTCAGCGCTAGAGTTACGTACCGTGACCTATACAGACGGTTTAAAATCAGCCTTCTAAACTCTTTCTCAGTTCTGTGGGATACCCATGCTATGCAACCAAAGGCGTCGCCAAGCAATGACTTGGGGAGGATTTAAAACTTGTTGTAGTTGTTCCTAACTAAGTTGGGATTGAAATTACCTTTTTTTTTCTTTTTTTTTTTGTCGATGCGAAATGCTTATATGCTTAAATGCGGGACTCCCCGGCGCGGAACAACGCCGGTCCTACCCACTAAAACCCACCGGTACCCTCCTATGCCCATATGGGAGCGTTTCAGGATCGGCAGGTATTGAAATTACCTAGTAAATTCATTCGATTGTCAACGTGCAGGATACACATACATTTTGGTCAGGCAATCAAGCCAAGTGAGTATGCAACAAACATGCAATACTTCTTTTAAGACATGGGAGCGTTATCATGAATCTAATATATAAAATTCTTGTGTCGCGGTGTTTGTGGTTAAACTTCTCCGAAACGGCTATCCCGATTCTCATGAAACTTAGTGTGCATATTGGGTAGGTCTGAGAATCGGACAACATCTATCATCATCCCCCTAAATGTTAATGTTAAGGATAATCCATACATAATTTTAGATATTTTTTTTTTCATACATCATACAAAAATACATACAACCCTAAATTTTCACTCTTCTACCACCAACCACTATTTTTTTATGGCGGTACGAAGTTCGCTGGGTCAGCTACTAAAATTATAATATTGTGGAGTAGCAAGCCAGAAGATTTTTTTTTGAAGTGAAAATTTCTTTAGCGGCGTGTAAAAGTGTACACTTTTGTTTGTATGGGTAAAAAATGTTAAACTCGCGTCAGGTTAAACACGTGGGCTGATCGCATCATGACACACAATAAAATTGCAAAGGTTGTTGACTTTCAATATATTGGACGAAACATAGTAATATTTTATTTTATCGTATTATAATAATAAGTTTCTATCTAGGACGTCCCCGTGGCAGTTTTAATGCGAAAAAAATGATTTTTTTTTAAAATAGATGTCGCTAGGTGCGCTTAAATGTGATTCATGTAAGTTGATTTCTTTACAATAGATGTCGCTAAGTGCGCTTAAACGTGATTCATGGAAGTTGATTTTTCTGAGAGATAAAACTTTTTTGATGTATTATAAATTTTCATGTTTGTGTATGATAGCGCAATAAATAAATATTGTATTCTACCACATACATGATAGTACTTTTATACTGATAATTAAAGCAATTCGTGCAAAATTATTCCCTAACCATTCCAAAATATCAAAAATGCACAACGTTAATATTCAAGTTTTCACTTCTGCCGGCACTCCCGGAGTGCAACCCGTCGTTTTTTTTTTGTTTCATTTGTACTTTAATCTTATTGAATTGTAATATTATTTTATGACTAGATTTTTCTGTGAGCATGCATGCGTAATATTAAGTTGATCACATACAAGTACCTAGCTATACAGATCATTGTCCATCACGTAAAACAAAAAAAGTTGTTTCTTCCCCTACTGGAAATATGCCTCCTTAAGGGACCTCGAAGCTTAGCGATCTTGAGCTTTCCCCATCCACGGTGGGTCCTCCCGATTCTCTTGATGTCACCAGTCTGCCTGGTGGTCTACCATAGAAACACCTTTTGACCCCAACGTCCATGGGTCCGCCTATATGCCCCACCCATTGCCAATCACACTTGGAAACCCGTTAAGCTATGTTATGTTGGTCAACCTAAGTTTTCTACGGATTTACTTATTTCCGATTCTTAGAGAAACACAGAGCAAAGCTCTCTCCATCGCTAGCTGGACTTTGAGCCCATATATCAGATCCGTATAACTACATTTATCTCACTGGTAGCACTTACTGTTGAAAATCTTTTAGTTTCCAAAGAATTACATCCAAAGCGTGGTTTAAACGGCCTCACGCAAACTCGGGAGTCCTGAACAAGGTGCGGCGTTTTTTCACGCCCGAGCAACTGTGCTTGTTGTATCAGACGTAGGTGCGGTCTTGCGTGGTGGAATATTACACGCACCTCTGGAATGGCTCCGCCAAGTACTTACCC